ACATATGGTTATCTATGGACAATATTTAGTAGTTTTGTTTGTGCAGCTTTAAAATTTATGCATGTGGTATAATTTGTGTGCATCATCCTTTCCCTTGCTTCTTGGCTCTTATTGTCTTTTTGAGATCTAACTGATACATAGAAATCTATTTCATTGCTTTTTTGCACCACTGTGTTGTACTCTTAGTTCATTGCATTTTATTTTATTGACGAACATTTAGGTTGTTCAATACTGAAACGAAAATCTTTGTAAGATTTTTTTGGCATAAAATCCTCTCAGTGGAATTGCAGGTCACAGGAGAATATACAAATTTAAATTTCATTAAGTACTACCAAATTAAACTTTAAAGCAGCTAAACCTATGTATAGCACTACCAACCTTTATTCCTCATATCTTTGAAAGTTCCTGTTATTGATTTTAATTGTTGAAACTTTGATTTCTCTTTCTTTACCTCTTTCATTCTGATTTGCAGTTCTGTGATTACATGAGAGATTATACATTTTTCATGTTTGTTAACCATTCCGATTTCATTTTATTTGCTATTTGTGTGTGTGTGTGTGTGTGTGTGTGTGTGTGTGTGTGCATGTAAGTTATTGTGGTGGCCATGAAGTGTGTCTTACCAACCTCTGCTACAGGGTACATAATTACAAGAAGGCTCCAGTTATATACTGAAGTCCTTCACTGAGTTTATCATGAGACTACTTCTTCCACATGAATGAATGAGTGTGTGGGGATATAAAAGCATATCTATAATGTGAGATGCAAGACTTTATTGGCTAATTTTTTGCTCACAGATTTCCAACCCTTCCTTAGACTGAAAAGGAATTCTAATCGCCCAGTCCAACTTTCTGTTCCTTTTTCCTTTGCTTGGGGTTCCAATTTGCATGAGATCTCACAGTCTTCCCTGCCTATCTCCATGTTTCCTTTTACACAAGTATTTCTCCTAATAATATCCTTTCACATTTAGTACCATTTGGTATCTATGTTTATCAGGTATATTGGTCTCTGGTTTTCATTCCTTGATGTTTCCTTATCTAGTTTTGGTATCAGAGTAATATTGGCTTCATATAATAAATTTGGGAGTCGTAGAAAGGGTTCTAYGAATTTGAGGAGGATTGGTTTTCAGTTCTTCTTTTAAAGGTTCTGGTAGAATTCAACTGAAAATTTATCTGGTCCTGGGATTTTCTTTGTTTAAAAGCTTTTCATTACTGCTTCAACCTTTTTGTTTGTATGTCCACTTGGTTCAGTCTGGGTAGGTCATATGTGTTTAGAAATTAATCAAGATCTTCTAGATTTTCTAATTTATTGGAATACAGGTTTTCAAAATAGTTCTGTGGATTTCTGAAATGTCTGTGGTGATATCTCCTTTTCTGTCTGAAATCCTAAGACCATATACATAATAATTTCAACCATAGTACATCTGGCAACTTTGTGCAAACCTGGGTTTTATACCCATGGCTTCTGATTCTAAGTCCAGAGCTTTTTACATTGATCATCCCTCATAAAGTTCTTATAATAACATACTAATTAAGGCTGTGTAATTCAATGTGAAGAATCTGCTTTTCCTCTAATGGGAGACTAGGGCAAATTATCACATTGTATGGCATTCTACTCAAGGCAAAAGGGGAATGCCATATTCAGATCATTGACAAAGATTTTATTTAAAAACTGCAAAGCTCACCAATGTTTGAGTGTATATTATGTGCCAATTTCTTTATATTAAGTTCATTTTTTTAACCACTGTTAAAGGAAGATACTGCTATATTATCCCCATTTTATAAATGGAGAAATGAGATCCAAAACAGATTTGTCTCAAGCTATTTGTTAGTTGATAATAGAGACAGGGCTAGAAAAGAAGTCATTTTCTTCTCAAGTTGCCACGTTTTCTATTTTGTTTAAAGTTTTATTTTATAATCTAAAGTATTTTGTTTAAATTATTGTATTTTATTTCATTGYTTTGTATAGTGAATATTTTGACTTCTTTAAAATACAGGTATTATATAATCTCCTAAGGGAGAAGTTTGGCTTATAATAACCTTTTGTTTATACTATCTTAAGAAAATTAAAGTAATAAAATTATATTTGTTGTCTTTGGGCATTTAAATTCAGCAGGGATATTTACTAAAGTGTAGATTGTAGTTCCTTATCTTTATTTTATTTTTGTCTCTTCCTCTTCAGTTTTCTTATCTCTTTTATTCTGCCAATATCCTTTTGCTTTTTTAAATACATATCTATTCCTGTGACAATCTTTTCTTTTCCAATTTTCTTTCTCTTCTCTGTATGCCTTTCTTCGTTTTTCTTTCCTTTTTGTTTGCAGATTGCTAGGGGCTGGCTCCTTCTGTTTGTATTGCTGTTTTATTGTGTGATCTATTAGAGAAGTATTCCCTGGGAAATCAGGATCTCCAGAATATGGTGGGATTCAGTCCCCACCTCCTCACCCAAGTTCTTGTAGATACATAGAGAGATAGATACATTTCTTTATTTATGACTTAATGACTGAGTCACCTCCCTTCCCCATCTCTCTTCCTTTCATCATCTTTTATTCTATAAATCTTTATTAAATGCTTGTATCATGCTGTGAATTTTCATCTCTGAATCCATAACCCAGTCTCTAAATTTCACTGTGTCATAATCATACTCTCAGGATAAGTAATGATACTTTGAGCTTAATTTTTTAAAATTTTAAACTGATTTAACTTGTACTATGTTGAACTTATATTTGAAAATAAAGAAAACGTAATTTCAGCAATTTCTGAACAAAACCTCATAATAAAAATAGCAAGGCTTTTAAAATGTATTAGAAAACTTACCTCTTTTATAAAAGATTGCTCTTAACCTAATCATATGCGAATKATTTCTTCCTTTTTCCCTCCCTCTTTTCCCCCTTCATTCCTCCCTCCCTCTCTCCCCCCTCTAAAAGATTTAAAGAGATTTTTTAAAAAATTTTAAATGAAACGGATTTGGGGGAAGAAAACATGAGGGCAGGGGGTGAAGAAATAAACATGTAAGCTGGCTTGCTACTTTMAATAAAACTTAAAGAAAAAAAATTCAAATGCTTAAAAGAACTACATGTTCATGGAAGTGCTCCTGTAGTAGAGCTAAAGATTTCAGTCACAAGTGTGAAATTTGGCTGCAATTCTTTTTATTTGGATGGAACTATAGGTATGTGGCCCAATTTATGAGCTGATCAAACTAAATGACCAACTAAATGACTTGCATTTGAAATAATTGACCACTAGTCCAGATAGAAAGCAACAAGAGTACTTGCTTTTACATATCTAATTATCTCTGAAGGTCCTCTTCATATGCAGGGCTGTATGGGTCTTGATGTTCTCTCTGTTATAATCATTTCCCCAGCACCTATGTGTCAGATTCCACCAAATCCTGCTGCATCTTCTCAAACTTTCCAGTATTTTTGATCCCAAGCTTTTAGTCACCTGAAGTCAGAAATGTTGATAGCAACAGTTCCTTTGAAGCAGTGACTACTAGCATAGTTCTATCCTGCAGGAGCTGCCACATAGTTCTTAACACAAGTGACCATTAATTAATTTATCTGCTTTGTGTTTGGAGTTTTGTGTGTGAGGTTCTACTTAATTTCATATGCCATACAAAAGAAATAGATGAATAATAAAAGTAATCTTGCTAATGCTTCAAATACAGATATCACTGATGAATTATTTCTGCAATGCAAAAGAAAAAAAAAGACAGTGATGGAAAAGAACTTTAAGGAGAGGGTAAAGAGAAGGAGGTGAAACAAAAGGGTTGGAAAGAGAAAGAGAGAGAGAGAGAGAGAGAGAGAGAGAGAGAGAGAGAGAGAGAGAGAGAGAGAGATTGGTTTTTTTGGACTAAAGAGAGATTCCACCTTATCTAACACTTCTCATTCTTTACAGCCAAGGTGAAACCTCATCGCTTTCAGAAAACCTCAAGCATTTTTTCTATGTATTGTGTAGATACTTCTGTTATTTGTACAATTAATTTGCTAATTAATTATGCACTGTTTTAGAATTCATCTTAAAATGCTTAGTTAAATATTTAGGCTTGTTATTGCTTTCTCCTGGATTATGGCTTACCTTCTAAATTAGATTTATAAAGTCTATAGTTAAGGACCTTCTGATACAATGCCTACAATGGTTGCTGCCACAGGAAAGTTCATTAGCTGGGAGAAAGGATGACAGGAACTGCAGGAATGTGACAATAGAGGCAGAATGGAGGGGGAGAGGATACAGGAATGAGTTGCTGAGGATGGGTGAGGAAAAAAGAGAGCAAATGAAAAAACTATGGAGGGGCTGGGATTGTGACTCAGTGGTAGAGTGCTTACCTAGCACCGCGGGACCCGGGTTTGGTTCTCAGCACCACATAAAAATAAAATTAAATAAAGGCATTGTATTGTGTCCATCTACAAAAAAGATTCTCTCTCTCTCTCTCTCTCTCTCTCTCTCTCTCTCTCTCTCTCCTTTAAAAAAAAGAAAAGAACAAAAACTATGGAAAGAAATTGCCTTGTACCCATTGCAGCCAAGATGCTTAGACACTATTGCACGGGGTGCATATAGTGTTATTTTAGTTTGTCTTAGTAAAGGTTGATTTTTTTTTGGAAGTTTTCTGTAAAGATTAAGTTTAGAATGGAGAGAAGTRTACTTATTTAGCATGTTAATTGCACTTGAGATTGTGTAATGGGCCCATGGGTGATCAGTACACATATGTATATGTCCAGGAATACACATATATTTTATTTTTTAATATTTTTCAATTCTTACTTAATGATCATGAATGACATTTTAAAAATCAAAGGAAAATTACTTTAAGAAATTAAAAAATTTTAGGTATGTTATTTTAACCAACTAAATGACTTGCATTTGAAATAATTGAGATGCAGCATTCAGAATTTCAACTTTGGCTGAAGTAGTAGTCTGATATCTGATTTTATTTGAAAGGTGATATACTTTTCAACTTCAAATTCAACATACCAAATTTCCTCTCTAATTTTTTGCTTTGGCTAACAGGACATCTCCAAGTTCGCAGAGAAAGACAACATAGTCCTTGGAGAAGGTGGAATCACACTGAGCGGAGGTCAACGTGCACGGATTTCTTTAGCAAGGTGAGTATCTAATTGTTGGTCTAGAAACTATTTGATGTAATATTGGATGTAAAATATTATAGACACTTTTCTATTGCTTTATATTGTATTTCTGAAATTGAAAAAAAATGGGGGCTTCTATGGCTAATGGGTTGAGTCACCTTTAAGAGATATAGATGATACAGTTGTTCACATTTGTTGAAAATAATGACTTTATCAAAATGAATTCCCTTATTTTAGAGTGTGTATACTTGTTTGTCTTATGGTATAGTTTACTATAAATAGAAAGCTCTGGAATCCTACAAAAAACACGGAAAGAGAGGATATAAATTTCTGTTGGTTCTATCAAACACTCTGTCATTTCCCCTATTTCCACAATTTACCCACCTAGTTTAGCTTCTGTTTATGCTTCTTGGTTTAACTAAACCTAAGTCTTCAAAAATTTTCAACATAATTTATCATTTCCACAATAAAAGTAAGACAAATTATGCCAATTGGCTTAAAGCCTACTCTTTAAAGTAAAATAAGACAAACACATCTGACATGGTGGGTGTAGAAGTTCCCTTGATAGAGACATTCTTGGAGTAAGAATCTAGAAGCTGTCAGAGAAGTACATATAGTTCATTTGCGTCAAGAAGAAAACGTGGTTAAATTATAACTTTCAGTTTAAAAATTTATTAGTGATGTGGGATGTCAAATATTCCTCCAGTTTTATTTGAACAAATTCTTACTGTGTTGCAAAGTTACTAAGAAGAAATCAATTTCATTGCTTTGTTAATGTGTTGGCTCCCTTCCTTCACTCTCTCCAACTTCCAAAAACAGACAAGAAACTAATACTGAGCATTTGCAGTTGCCTGGTGTGTGTGTGTGTGTGTGTGTGTGTGTGTGTGTGTGTGTGCGTGTGTGCGCGCACGCGCACGCATGTGCCTACATGTATGTGATCTCCAACCCTTCAAAGAAAGAATTTTTATCTTTGCTTTTCAGAAGAAATCATGAGATAATTGAAGAAATCATGAGATAATTAACTTGCCAACAGCCACACAGGGAAATGGTGGAGTCACAATCTGAACCAGGTCTTCCTGATTCTGCTTTTTATCTTGGGTTTGCACTATGAAGTAGTAGATATGGACAGTATAACAAACAAGATAATGAATTCTGAATAATGGCAAGTTGATTAATTTATGTGTAAATCAACAACTTAACTTAAACATTCCATCCAAGAGTTAGGTAAGGAATATGGCTTAGGAATATGGCTTCTAGACATTCAATGTAAAGTTTGTATTTACCAGCRTGTTTGGTCTTATTGTAAGGCACACACAGTTTGAGATCCTACTAACAATAATGTCTTTTGTAATTCTGATCTGTATGTAAAATATGCTGTCCAGTTTTTGACAATAAATATATTATTTATAATCTCTTGAGAAGCTGTGGTTATAGATATGAAGGAGAGTGTCTTAATTCATTCTATGTTGCTAATAATACAATGCCATGGGTTTGGAAAGTCATAAAGAAAAGAGGTTTGTCTCAATGTTCTGGTCAAGGGCCCACCTCTGTCTGGTGATGACCTGATGTTGACAGAATCTGAGGCAGCACAGGAATTCACATGGTAAGAAATAGAGAACCTGTGTATGAATGCATGATCTGGTCTCTTCCCTCCCCCATTAAGCCTCTATTTAGAAATGATTAGAATTAGATACATTTCAACCTTGATAACTGCATCTAATTCTAATCACGGCTGAATAGCTCCATTTCTAAACACTCCATTTCTAACTTAAGCTCCAAAGTTTCAGAGTGGACAAAACAAATTTAGACCATCTATCATAAAGACAGAAGTAAGATTCATGTATAAATATGTGCAATGTACCGTAAGTGTACATTTTGATTGGGTCCTTTAGTTATTTCACATTGTCTTCAAACTTAGTGTGTTAACTTTTTTTTTGTTGTTGTGACCAAAAGTACCTCAGAAGAACAACTTAGAGGAGGAAAAGTTTGTTTTGGCTCATAGTTTCAGAGGTTCACTCCATAGTCTGCCGACTCCGTTGCCATGAGCCAAGGTGAGGTAGCAGCACATCATGGCAGAAAGGGCATGGTGGAGGAGCACTGCTCACCTCATGATGTCCAGGAAGCAAAGAGAGAGGAGACAGGGAAAGGGCCACAGGGAAGATTCATATTTCCAGGGCATATCTCCAGTGACTCACCTCYTCCAACCATGCCCCACCAGCCTCCAATTACCACCCAGTTAGTTCATTCRAACTAGAATGGATTGATTAAGTTACAGGTCTCATAATCTTGTCATTTCACTACAGAATATTCCTTCATTAACACAGAAGCCTTTGAGGGGACACCTGGTTTCTAAACCATAACATATAGTTTACAATATAAAATCTATTTTAGATTTTGCTTTGAGGTTTTGCTATTTCTGAATTCTTCCATTATTTCTCTCATTATTTGCTGACTGGATTCCATTTTCTTTATTATAAAAGTTTCTATAATTACATATATATGCTCAGAATCCCACACAGTTAGGTGAGAGATATAATTACTTATAATCATACCTGAAAATTTAAATGTTATGATGAAATCATCTCATGTTTGTTAACATAGGAACTACATCTTAATACTGTTATAAATCAACTTGATGGAGATTTTACTTGCTTAAAAATTTTACTTTTAACTTAAAAAGTAAATGAATATGGACAAAAAATTGTATTGTGAATATTTCTTTCCTTACTTGGAACTTTTATASATGTGGTTCAGAGATGAAGACTAAAGGTGCAAAAAGCTGTATCAATTATATAGTCATGACAGCACTGGTATCAACTTGGTGATAGCAGTGAACACTTTGAAAAATATTTCTTTTTTTTTTTTTAATTCACAACACTACTGTAATTTATTTGCTGTCTCTGACATTTTACAGTTTAAAATCGTTACCTTCTTATTTATTTCCCCACCAAGATGCAAGCTCTTCTAGGGAAGTGACTATAATTTTAAAATTGTATTCCTGCACATAGCATGATCCCTGGCTTTAAATACATAATATTGTTAAAAAGTTTTTTAAGACAATATTTTAAATTGTACCATATGGTGTTATTTAGTTTATAACTTTTTTGTTCTTTTTTTTTTGTATACACAATAGTAGAGTGTATTTTGACATATTATACACACATAGTGTATGACTTATTCTAATTAGGATTCCATTCTTGAAGTTGGACATAATGTGGAGTTTCACTGGTCGTGTGTTCATATATRAACCTAGGAAATTTAAGTTTGATTCATTCTACTGTCTTTTCTATTTCCATCCTCCCTCCCTTACCTTCATTCCCCTTAGTCTAATCCAGTAAATTTAAATCCCCCCACCTTATTGTGTGTTAGCATCTACACATCAAAGAGAACATTCTCCTTTGGTTTGGGGGGATTGGCTTATTTCACTTAGCATGATTTTATCACTTGCAGTTAGCAAAAATATTTCATCATTGTTTGAAGTACTATAATAAAGCCACAAAATCATTTGTRACTTATTATTCCTCATTTAAAATAACCTACACTATTAAAGACACATAAATAAAAAAATTCTCTAACAATGCTACATCTGCCTTATGTTGTAAACAGCTTTATTTCAGTGAATAGAAGTGATGACCATACTGTAACATAATAGTTGACTGTTTTTTTTAACCATCTATACATAGTGACATAGAAACTATTGAGAAAATTAATTTAAATTTCATTTTCTTTTTAGAGCAGTATACAAAGATGCTGATTTGTACCTATTAGACTCTCCTTTTGGATACCTAGATGTTTTAACTGAAAAGGAAATATTTGAAAGGTATGTTCTTTGAATAACTTACTTATAATTCTCATGCTAAAAGACAAGAAAAAATGACTATACCATGTTAGATGGCATATTACTTTTTGAGAAATACACCCACCATTGTTGCAGCTCAGGATGGCAGAATGTAACATGGAGCTTACTCGTGGCCTAGATTGACAATTAATTCCCTTAAAACCTTTCTAATTATCACATGCTAAACCAATTTATTCCTTTGCTATACCGTTACAACAGTTGCTGTCTATGTAGATTTTACAATATTTTTGCCTGCAATGTATCTTCTATTGTTTTAACTTGTTATTATACTTAAAAAATTTATTTTCACTTTTGTATCTTAGTGATTTTTTTTCTGTTTTCTCAGTAAATAGTAAAATAGTGAACTCTTCAAGGAACTAAACACGTGGAATAGTTGAATGATGAATGCGTAGTCTTTGCATCTACCTCAGTGCTTCCTTAAAAAATCTCCTCCTCAGTCATGCAGAGATTAGAACTTACATTTCCTTGAAGTTCCTAAGAATAACAGTTAGTTATATGACTTGRTTTCAAAGCTTCAAAATGAGTTCATGTACTATAAAGTAATTTATTGGGCGAATAGTCATTATAGTCTCTTAGAAACAAAGATTTTAAGCAATAAAGCAAGGTGTGTGTTTGTGTGTGTGTGTGTATTTGTGTAAAAGTCTGCATTATTTTTAGAAGCATCTTTTCTAGAATTTAGTTAAATTTATTTATTTATTGCTTGTGTTCAAATGTTTATTTTAGTACAAACTGAACCTTTGAAATATTCTGGATACCTGCTTAGTTCCATTTAAATTTTGCTACTTCAACCCTATGCTTTATTATATTAAAATATGAAGCCAAGGAAAGCTACCTGTCCAGGCATTAGGTTTTCTGAGGAGGAATCATGTGGCATTTTTCTGTTAGACACTTTCAAYTTACATTACTCTCAGTGAAGTGATATATACTAGAATAGTCAGTCCATTCACAAATCCCAAGGCGGTTTCATTTCAGCTTCTCTAAATAAATTGCAAAGTATAATCAATATGCTGTCCATTCAAACTATTCCCAGTTCCCATTTTCACTTCCAATACAATCTGTATGGAAAAGTGTATGCTATTATAAAGCACTTTGAGTTTGTTTTAAGTTTCTCACATTTATTCTTAACCTAAAAGGAAGGCAATACCTTTCTACTTTCCCTAAAACTTATTCAACCCACTCCTTACAATATGGTCTTGTATTTAGATCTCACATTAAAATCCCAGTTATCTTCTAAATCTCCATAATTGTCCTCAATGGCCATTATGTACAGTGCTCTGACTTCTATACTCTTAAAAATGTTAGATAACCTCCACCATTTTTAAGCATAAAGCAACTCAATTTAGGACAAAAAATTTTTACTGTTATTCAACAAAATTATAAGAACATAAATCCCACTTAATTAATAAGTTGATTAATTTTACTTTTCTTGCRTTCAAACCCTTAAAGCGTACAGCATCATAAGGATTTAGTATCCAAGGGCCTTACCCAGAAGTCTGGTTGCTTTGGAATTTAACATGATTGATGCCATTGTTTCCATGAGCATGAGTTACCTTTCCCCAGATTCCTCTGGTTTTGTTCAGTTTGCTGCCACGAGTCACTGTGCTCTTCTTTGCTTTATACACAGTTGAAATCAGTTTCATTTCAGGCATAAACACCCCTTTGACTTTAAAATGAACAGGATGTTCTGGTTTGTTCTGGAGACCCCGCTTAGAGCCAGCAAAAAGCCCTTGCACCATATCCTTCCAAGGATGTCTGCCTTTTAGAAGTCCTGTTCCCGGCAGGCCTCTCCAGACTCCAACATGGCAGGAAGAGCAAAATTTAGTTAAATTAACACCCAAAATACTATTTTGATAATCTTGTGACTATGATAAGTAATCTCTTAATTATTATAAACTTTGCGACATTTGTGTTGTCTTCATACATGAGAGTATAATGATGCCTCTTTCTGTATGATATATAAGGTTTTAGTAGTTAAAAGTAACTGAGATTCCCCTGGAAGACTGCAGTCAGGATTAATTTCTAGATTGCGAGAAATTTTTATTAGAAGAGGGTCAAATTTATTATAATCTAATTTTCACTTGTTTTAACCATCATATTAGTATTAATATGGTCAATTTAAAATATAAGAGGAATTCAATTAATAGAAAATTTAAACAACAAGAAATCTTTGGCACTTTATAAGATATTTAGAAATAAAGACTGCTAGAGACACCGAAGGTTATCTAAAAAATTCCTATTTTCAAGAGAAATAAAGACTCAGAGGGTAAGTGATTTACTCAAATTCAGATGTCTAGTAAATATCAGCAATTTAATTTTATTCTAGAGCTGTTAACATTCAACTTTACAATATGGCATGCTATTTCATGCTGTAATAATTCAATAGGCACCAAATTAATTACTATGTTTACTTTTAGAATCATTTTTCATATAATAATAAAATGGTATGGTAGAGATTTTATATAATGAAACATTAATAAAATGCTAAGATGAAATTCATGTTATTATAATAAAACTATTTATGAAATTGATATTTTTATCTTTTTATGTTCTTTAAGCTGTGTGTGTAAATTGATGGCTAACAAAACTAGGATTTTGGTCACTTCTAAAATGGAACATTTAAAGAAGGCTGACAAAATATTAATTTTGCATGAAGGTAGCAGCTATTTTTAYGGGACATTTTCTGAACTACAAAATCTACGGCCAGACTTTAGTTCAAAGCTCATGGGATATGATTCTTTTGACCAGTTTAGTGTGGAAAGAAGAAATTCAATCCTAACAGAGACATTGCGCCGTTTCTCATTAGAAGGAGATGCTTCTGTCTCTTGGAATGAAACAAAAAAACAATCTTTTAAACAGACTGGAGAGTTTGGGGAAAAAAGGAAGAACTCTATTCTCAATCCAATCAACTCAATGAGAAAATTCTCAATTGTACAAAAGACCCCATTACAAGGAAATGGCATGGAAGATGAATCTGATGAGCCCTTAGAGAGAAGGCTGTCCCTAATTCCAGATTCTGAGCAGGGGGAGGCCATCCTGCCTCGCTGCAATGTGATCAACACTGGCCCCACATTTCAGGGCCGAAGGAGACAGTCTGTTCTAAACCTGATGACACACTCCGTGAACCAGGGGCCAAGCATCCACCGGAGGACAACAACTGCACGAAAAATGTCATTGGCCCCTCAGAYAAACTTCACTGAAATGGATATTTATTCAAGACGTTTGTCTCAAGAGAGTGGCTTAGAAATCAGTGAAGAAATTAATGAAGAAGATTTAAAGGTATGCATAAATCATTAGTGCCCCTCCAATATAATCAGGTACAATATGATATGTATTACATAGCAAAATTTACTCAAATTATCAAGTTAAGATGGGATTTTATCTTAAGACTTAGGAAGTCCAAAGTCCATATGTAAGCAATTTCAAAATATAAAACAATKAATATTTCCAATTGCAGTGGATATATATCCATCATCCCAAAAAATATTTTATAAGCCAAAGCAAGGATTTAGCATTAGATTCTTTACTAGGCAGTGTTATTCATTATTATACATTAAAAAGAATCTGCTTTATTACCGCTTGAAACCTCTGTGGGATGAAGTGGAGTATAAATAAATATATAAACAAATAGCTTCAATTATGTGTAAACCAAGAACTATGTCTGAATGAACATAACCTATATAAGGAGTATAAACATCTGGTCTTTCAACAGAACCAACTCACATTCTGACTTAGATGTCATTCTTAACAGTATGGGCTTTTTTTCTCTTTTTAAAATTATTACTATTATTATTATTATTATTATTATTATTATTAATGAATTTATTTTTACCATGGATTGAACCAAGGGATGCTCAATCTCTGATCCACATCACCAGCCATATTTATATTTTAAGACAGTGTGTCTCACTAAGCTGCTTAGGGCCTTGCTAAGTTGCTGAAGCTGGCTTTGAACTTGTGATCCTCCTGCCTCAACCTCCTGAGCCACAGGGATTAGAGGCATGCACCAGTATGCTCAGCTGACTTTTTGATCTTTTAAAGAAGATATGTGAAATAAAGTATATAAAATAGTATAGGTATACTAGTGCCAATCTTCAGACAGAAAGTCTGTTATATTGCAAAGAATAAAATGCTTTCAATCTTAAAACAGAAAGCAATATAAAAGAGGAGGATTTTTCTTGTTGTTTACCAGAAAACTTATGTACCTTGGATGAAGTTAACTACTGGTAGACTTGAATGAATTAACATGTTTAATAGCATAGATCATTTAATAACAGAATGAACTGGTGAGTCACAAGTCATTTAACATCTCCAGGCCAGAGTTTCCTTCATTGTGAAATGAAGGAATAGATGATCCCTAAAATATATGCTTTTAGTATTTCTATAATTTTAAACGTGTTTTCTAACGGATAAGTCATACACATGGTTTAATAGCTATCTAAGTAGATTTCTCAAACCTGAGTCCTCAAAGTTAATTTGAAAGAATGATTTATTTGACTAACAATAGTTGCTATTTATTGATTACTTCTAGTACCAAGCAGTGTAGACTCAGTCCCCACTACTATGTTAGAAAGTATAAATCATTGTCCTCATTTATTGATGAGGAAATGGAATTTCAGACAACTTCAGCATCTAGCCTCAATGCAGATGTTAGAAGTGGAGCTTGAATTCAAATACAGGCCTATCTGACTTTAAAAATCTGTGCTTCAAGCCAGTACGCTCTATTACAATTTTATCGGACCTATCTTTGTGATCTAATGTTTCATTTACAAATTATGTGGACTTCATGAGAAAAAAAACCCTGTGATTTCTCTAGGACTATCTGGAATCCCATTTTTTTCAATTTTTAAAATTTATCTGTCAAAAGTTTTTAAAAATTTCTGGGGGAATATAAACAGAAGTAGAATTACATAATTTAAATCATATCCATAAAGAGGTATAACTCTTTGCTACTGAAAAATGTACAAACCCAAGCTGATTTTCAGTCTATTGGGAGACCTTTGTATCTAGGAAAATGCCAAATGACTTGTCTGTCCATGAATACTGGAAGAAACAACTTAAATAAAGGAGAGATCTGTGAAGCTTCATATTGATGATACCATTCATTTTTTAAAAAGGTATKWCACTGTTGAGCATTTAACTACTAAAATCATCCTACAAAAAAAATAATACAGTTATATACCAAATACCTGTAGAATTTTTAAAAAGTACAGTGTTTCACAGTTTCCAAAAAGCTTTGTTGCTCCATGGACTTCATATTGGCTATGGTATGATATCACATGTGGCATTAATTCAYTTAGCTTCAAGTAATGTTCCTTTATTTCCACACATTCAAAATAAAACTGCAGTGATGGTATGAAATGATGTTGTTTCATTGTAATAATCATGGCTCTTTTTCAGGAATGCTTTTTTGATGATGTAGAGAGCATACCTGCTGTGACCACGTGGAACACATATCTTCGATACATCACTATCCACAAGAGCTTGATTTTTGTGCTAATTTGGTGCTTAGTTGTTTTTCTGGCTGAGGTAAGGATATTCTGTGATTTAAATTAAGAATAGTTTCAAGAGGTACATATATTCATGTGCACACACACATATAAATGCATGTCTACACATTTATATAATATATGTAATTATGATATATAGTGTTATTGTTCGATTTTGAAAATCCATAATTATAATCACTGTTGGTATTTTATTATTTCATTCATAGCAAATAAAATGTGCCCAAAATATACATACTGAAATTGCAGAGTATTTTTAAAATACATTTTATTGTGTATATTTAAGATATACAACATACTATTAYGGGATTCATATAGATTATAACAAGATTACTATCATGTAGCAAATTAACATATCCATCCTTTCAAATAGTTACCCAGCAGTTTTGTGTTTATGTGTGTGTGTATGTGTGTGTGTGGATAGAGGGGGAAAGAATAACTAAGGTTTCATTTAGCATGGACCCCCAAAATAGTATAATTTTACCTATAAATTTCATTTTGTGCATTATATCTTTAGATATGAAGAATTTTTAATAGAATAATTCAAAGGATCAGAGTAGATGGCCTATATAATTTGAAATTAAGTACTAAAAATAATTCTTCACTAAATTCTAAATTTATTAACTGTCTTCACACACCACACCACACACACACACACACACACACACACACACACACACAAAAGGTAAATATATACTAATGACTTAGGAATAATTTTAAACAACCTTTTCAGAGACTCAAATCACACACTTCCTTGTAGAAATTGTGTTGTCTTTAAGGCCCTCATTGTAGTTTCTTTGCCAGGCTTCTGTTGGGCTTCATATCACCAAGTTAAAAGTCAGATGGAGGTACAAATAGCATGGCAGGCCACAGCACAAGCACTTCCTGAACCTGGGGGAGGATGAGGCTTTTTTTTTTTTTTTTAAGATTTGGACACCCATGGAAATACCAAAGGGTCCTAGCAGGAGACATCAGTGGGGGAAGTGACAGAGAAGCTGAGTAGAGAGAATTTGCCCTCTGGTTGTCTGAAGAGGACAAACATAACTCAGCACCAAGGGCTTACCATGTGTTCATTTAACAAATATCATTTGTGAAGATAGAGATCCAGATATTTTTTTCTTGTAAAATTTTCCCACTTTAAAATATGAGTAGTTAGCTGGGTCTGGTGGTGCATGCCTGTAATTCTAGTGGCTTRGGAGGCTGAGGCAGGAGGATTGAAAGTTCAAAGCCTCAGCAACAGCAAGGCATTAAGCAACTCAGTGAGACCCTGTCTCTAAATAAAATACAAAATAGGACTGGGGATGTGGCTCAGTGGTTGAGTGACCCTGAGTTCAATACCCAGTACCTGCTCCCCCAAAATGTGAGTAGTTGATTAAATAAGAACCAACAAAGGAACAGCATGTAGACATGACAAAACAGGTTTATGGATTGGATTATTCTTGTGAATGATTACCCCCAACATTTATTCCGGAGAACATGGATATGTCTTAGTGTAGATCTAACCTGTTGCCCCATTCTGCCTTCAAGGAAGAATTGGCCTTGGTGAAGAACCACAATAGAAATGTGTAAATAACTGAAACACAAACTTATAATTGTTCATTTTTCCCCTATTTTTTGTCTGCTTCCATCCTCAATTAAGAAGGCTACATAAAGTATCATTACCTTCCATGATCTTGTAAAATAGTGCTAAATATCTAAAGGTATACACCAAAAAAAAAAAAAATGTACATACTGCTTCAACAGAAAACCACTGGTTTCCAATTGACTTTTGAGTTTTGGTACTATCCCTTTTTTTTTGCCATGCTGTTTTAAATTAACTAACCAAATGGAGACTTAAATTAACATGTAGTATAGTGCCAACCCTGGAATCAAAACGACTGGGTGTGACTCCTAAATTTGTCTTATTAATACTATGAAACTGAAAAAGTTAGTTAAGCTCTCTGAGACTCTAGTTACTCATCTGTATAATGGATATTGAAATAATACCAGATAAGTGGGCCATTTCGTGGGAGACGTTGTGATTATTAAATACTTAATGTAGGGCTTGGGACAGAGGGAGAAATGCTAATTGCTGTTATCCATTAATATCATTATAAATCTCAAGATAGTTTGAGGTGAACAAGTCCATAATAGTGATATAATTCCAATAATTCCTTTTACTCTTTAACAAAAATAAAAGGTTGGGTAATTTGATGCCCACATATGAGTAATAAATAYTGTATTGAAATGTACTTCAAATGCACCTCATTAATTTCAGTCCTGCCAAATGACTAACATTAATGTGAATGGAACCCAGCCTGTGCCCTATTTTAATCTCGACCAGTCCTTATTAATGATTTGATCTCTCCATATTGAAATATCACATTACTTGATTGTCTTAGACTTATGCAAGAAAAAAGTGCCTGATTGTGGTGGTAATTTCTGTTAATTTTTAAGATGTGAGTCTCATGCAGCTCCATAATATTGAACTTAGTTAGGTACCTTTCAAAATGATATGTAATTAACTACTTACAGAATGATGTGTAATTAACTAATTGCCACACATGTATACAGTATTAACTCACTTGAGAAGACAATGCCAAGYATGGTGATGCATGCCTGTAATCCCCACTACTTCGGAGGCTGAGGCAGGAGGATCACAAGTTCAAAGTCAGTGTCAGCAATTTAGAAAGACCCTATCTCGAAGTAAAAAATAAAAAGGACTGGGGATGTAGCTCATTAGTAAAGCACTCCTGGGTTTAATTCCCTCCAGGACCAGAAAAACAAAAGAGAAGTTTAGGGCAAGAAACTAAATTATGAAAGAAGATATAAATGCTATATAATTACCCATATTAGTTAACCTTTCACAATTATTATAAAAATTGCCTTCTTAATGGGAAAAATGATTAATAGTGTTCTTTTCTGGACAAGAAATAAAAAAAATAAATCTTGTGGCTTTTTGGCCAATATCCTATAGGCACTGCCAGTTATCTAGCTCTAAAATTTTGAATAATGAAAACATGGTAATAGAGAAAAATCCTGATTTTTAAATTATGTGCACAATTATACATCTAAACAGATCATTCAATATTGTTCACAATTTTGTTGCTTTCTTTGAATCAAAATTTACATAATTTTTTTTTAGCCTAAGCTTCTTTCTTAATTCTAGTGTGTCCATTTCTTATTACCATTGGAACATCTCACTGATACTCCATATCATGGTACAGATGCTAATTCAGCATGATAGTGTAGTTCTTTTAAACTCTCTTCAGGGCACCATATTTATGATTGAAAAACTTAAAAGAAATGTTAAGATATATATTTTTTTCTCCATGGAAGTGACTTACTTTTTAAAATTTTAATAAGGGTAATATTTTAATTTAGATTTATGTTTTTACAGAATAGGTTCAATATGCTTCTCTTTTGCAATATGATATACTTAACCTTCCCCCTATTTTTACATTTAAAAATTCTTTTTTTCAGGATTGCTAAACTGAATGTATTTGTTTGGTTTATTCAGTTTGCTAACTTTTAACATGAGTGTGTCATTTTGAAGAAGGAATCAGTCTCCCTTTCTATTTTTGTAACATTTTCTCCTCTACAGAATAATATCTTCTGTTAAGTTCTTAGATATTTACACCAAACAAACAGGCTTTAAAATTTCTACTGCACTTGTCTTTCTAGTGGACATGGTTGGCTGTACATCACTGATTTGATAGAGAAGAATGCCAAGAATAGACTAGGAGATGTTTTCCTTTCCTCTGCAACTATCAGAGGGTGTAGTTGATTGAAGCTTCTGAAGGTCCTTTTCAGATCTTCTATTCGATGGTTTTTAGCAAAGTGTCAGAGAACTGCTTTATGTTTTTTTAATTAAGTGACTTCCTTTCTCTCTGTTAATAAGGAATCTCTGAGTGGATTTACATTGTTAGGAATATGAGGATGTAGAGAAATCCCATGGTATTACTTCCTATGCTAACTGATGGCAATTCTCTTAGAGCACTTTTCTGATCATGAATCTATATTTTAAGGAATGATTTGGCCAGTAAAATATTGAAAAATATGTATTAAAGTATACTGCATTCTATTTGGTATGAAATGATGTTTAAAACCCTGAAAAATGGAAAACCTTTTTGCTAATAATCTGGGACTATCACTCTATCAGAAATTGTGTTAACTTTATAAACTCTAAGCATTTTGGAAATGAAGTGATAGAATGGACTCAAMTATTTCTATGTGCCTCAAATAATTTTACTAAAACCACTGTGTGGAGTTCTTGAAAATGTTTTGGCTGTAGTCAATAAAAGCAGTTTGAGTTTGTAATTCCATGTGGATAGAGTCAGGAGATAGCTTTATATTACRATGACTGGGCTAGTTCTTTAGAAAACTGCTTTGGGCATTGTTCCATTAGTAAATATTATATTTTTACTGAGATGTGTTCACATTCAGAGACGTTGGCAATGCCAGCATTATTGACACTCCTTTAATTGGAACAAAGGGGGACTATAATAATAAAAGAGTGACTCAAAGCATGTACACTTACCTTAGATCTTGRGTAATTTGATTAGTTGGAAGAAATAGGAACACATTTGTGTGGGAACAAAGACTTTTGGAAAGTCTAGACTATCCTGGGTTTCTTGTCATTTAAAATTTTTATGAATCTCAAAAAAGCAAGATAGTTTTTCTTTTTTTGAGAGAGTGYACGGAAGCTATTTGTACAATGAAGAAAAGTAGGAAAGTGCGAACAACACCGTTAGGCTTTTCATCATTCTATGTGCCTCTGATATGTAAATTTAACTAAAATGCATACACCTTTTTAAAGTATAATACTTGAAAGTGTAATTTCTTAATTGATGATAAATGTTTCCCTTGAGGTTTTTTTTTTTAACATAGTGGCCTTAAGGTAAATTCAAGAATGAAATGCTAGACCCTTATTCCAAGTAAATTTATTTCTCCCCACTTTATTTTTATTCTGTGCACCTTTCCAAAACCACCTTACTCAMAATTGATTGCTTTTTCTATTTCATTCTCTGATAAAGTTAATATTTAGCTAATTGTATGATTTCTGACATTTCAGTCATTTCTAACATGACAATTGTGATGATATCAGAATGAGATTAGATTTCTCCACAAGGTTTATGAGAATGGAATGTCAAATTGAAATAGAACAGAGCACAGATAATTTAAATATCAAAAGACTATAAAAATCAAAGTTGTTTAAAAAAATTGTTTTTTTGGGGGGTATGGTATAGAACATTTATTCCTCAGCTGAATGTCTTTACCTTGAGAAAATCCTAATTCCTAAGAAATTCTCATAGTGATAATGTGTTTTAACCTGAATGTAACTTATCTTAATTCATAAACTATGCAGTTATACACTGTCAAACTTTTTATTTTCATAAATATTAATCTCATATTTTCCAATAATTAATTGTTCTCACAAGGATTAAGCATCCATAATCATTACACACCAAATGAAATTATTTATGGCAATCAAAGAGATAAATGATCTGCTGGTAGGCTGAGATTCATCTATAAAAAATAAAGTGTATTATTTAAAACATTTAGCTATAATCTTACTTCTTTTGTGAGGTTCAATGAGTAGTACTTGTTGAAGGAAGGAAACAATTGGCTTTATTTACCTCAGTGAAAACTGAGTTCCATAAACTTAATGTGTTCTTACCACAAATAATGATGCTTAGAACCCTTATTGCAGCTGCTGGACCCAGGAAAGCAAACAATAATGAAAATGTTTGTATGCATGCTGCTAGTCATATTGAAGATAGAGGCATACATGGAAAGAATAAGTAATGATGTTAGAAAAAAAAAATTAACTGTGTATTGTTCCATTCCAGGTGGCTGCTTCTTTGGTTGTGTTGTGGCTACTGAAAAAGTGAGTATTTTATGTCTTATTGTGAATTAAATTTTATCTGCATCAACTACTTGGGTATTATGAAATATTACAATATCCCCTGTGTTTCATTTCCCCACTGTATTTTCTAACTGAAAATACAAGTCCCAGTCATCCTTTACTTTCTGAGGGGAATGGKTTCCAGGACCCCCACAGGTGTAAAAATCTGCGAATGCTTGATTTCCTTATGTAAAATGATGTAGTATTTGCATATAACCTCTGCCTACCTTCTCATATACTTTAATTAATCTCTAGATTACTTGTAATATCTAATATAATATGTTATATAAATATCTGTTAGAAAGAATTGTCCAGGGAATAATGCCCCCCAAATCTGTATATGTTCAGTATARATGAAATTCAAAACATGTTTTCAATCTACTGTTGGTTGAATCCATGGATATGTGACCTAAAGTTCCATAGGTCAACTGTATTTTGTGAGTATGTTTAGTTCCTGCAGCTCTTTGCCATTTCTAAAGGAATTAGTTATGTTCAACTTTTGTGACATTCAATAAAATATTTGAAACAACATTATATACTTAGTACTTTTCTCTAAATATTTTGATCTAATAGAGATCAATTATATCTATTTCRATGGTATAAAAAGCTTAATCTACTCTATTGCAATAGAAAATTTTGAGATTAAGGGTTAATCCAATAGATTATGTTTCTTTAGACACAAATTTAGTTTTTGTGTGTATTGGAAATTCCGTAGACAAGTTTGGTTGCCAAATAACATTTTCCCTTTTGTTTTACAGCAATCCTCCTCAAGATGAAGGGAATAGTACTAAAAATGCAAATAACAGCTATGCTGTGATTGTCACCAACACCAGCTTCTATTATGTTTTTTACATTTATGTGGGAATAGCTGACACTTTGCTTGCTCTGGGATTATTCAGAGGTTTGCCACTGGTGCATACACTAATCACAGTGTCAAAAATCTTACACCAAAAAATGTTACATTCTGTTCTACAAGCACCCATGTCAACCCTCAACACGTTGAAAGCAGGTACTTGACTAGGTCTACAAAATGAAATTGCTAAGCCATCATCAGAAGGGCTTGCGGCTCAGATGACTTCCCAGCAGAGCCACTGGCTTTTTCTTTTTTAAAAAATATTTTTGTAGGTGTCAATGGACCTTTATTTTTATTTATTTGTATGCAGTGCTGAGAATCAAACCCAGTGCCTCACACATGCTAGGCAAGCACTCTACCACTGAGCCACAACCCCAGTCTGAGGAACTGGCTTTTGCAGAGTGTCATCTATACTTTGTTGAGCCTCCTTATGACTGGCATGTGCATTTCTCAGATATAACAGGCAATCATATATTGTGGCTCCTGTGGCTTTCTAGATCAGACAATTAGAGTGGGTTAGTTTATTAGAATGTGATAGAACCGTAGCAGCAGCAGCAGCAGCAGCAGTCTTCTCTGACTCAGTTGTACTTTTTAAATATTTGCTCTAGTCACCTTCTAGACATCTTTAAATAGTGCTATTTCAAGAAGGAGAAGACTTGAAGGGATCAAGGAAAATGTATAATTCTTCTATTAATAAAGTTAATATTCACTTCATAGGGCAGAATAATCTAGTTTTATGTACCTGTTTAGGAATAATCACAAATTTGTTCCATTTTATTTTTTTCCAGGGTGGAAATAAAAAAAATGTATTTTGAAACTATTTTTGACACCATAATAGTTAAAGTCATAGAAAGTAATGGTAGTGGAATAAAGGGCCCCCAAAATTTCAAAACTTAGGGTCATAAGGTACTTTGAAATTAATGAGTTCCATTGATTCCCCTTTAGAAAATTTCACACTTAAAGACTTAATGATTTAATAAGTTGTATTCTTACAGCCATCTGTCAAGTTCACTGTGTGTAGCACTAAGCCAGAAAGTAGATGGTACATAGATGAATAAGCCATCATCCTTAGAGGAGGACAAGCAAGAGGAGGACACAGAAATACTTGACTATGAAATGAGGAATATGTTTCAAGATTAAGAYTTACGGAGTGATTTGTATCAAGACAAGAAAGATTTATTTTTTGTGGGTAACAAAATTTCAGTGTTGGTACATAGGAAGATCTTTATGTTTATTTTGAAGGCTATGGGTCACTTAWAGGCTTGCCTCCTTTGGATATACTCATTGGCATCCTATGTTTTAGCATTCTGAATTTTAGACCTAATGGGATGCTCAGTTCACTTGATCCAGTGAGTTCATTTCTTATGGAAATCTGAGACCCAGAGAATGTAGGGGATTTGCCTGAATTTCTGCCAGAATCAGAAATGGGCTATAAAATACAACGGAAAGAATAAGAGGATTGTTTGAGGCCTGGTTTGGCCCCATAAAAGTGATCATGAGCAAGTTACTCTTAAGCATTRGCTTCCTTACCTGTAGGGCAGGATAAAGAAAAATTATCTCAGAGGGTCTTGTGAGAGTGAAAGAGGACAAGTTACTTACCTATTAACAAGCCAAGATGAAATCAATGTTAGTTTCCCATCACAGTTTTCTTTTTGTAGTGTTGTTCTCTTGGGGGCTGCACTTCCCATTCTCCCTCTTCACTTTTCTGATTTCCTCTTTCCTTTACACACAACTTGTGGTTGGTTCTGCGCCTTCTTGGTTTCATATTTAAATGATCACCACTCATTTTCTTTTTCTCATTTGTCTTACTTTCCCAACTTGCATCATATAGGATGATTCCTAAACATTACTGTGTTGTTTGTATTCCTTCTTATTTATGCTCTTGAGAACTGAAATAGTAAGTTGACCTTAATATCTCTATGCCCTGTTCCTGCCCCTCCTCTGTCACCTCCTGTATTTGTATGCAAGGATTATGCTTTCTTTTAAAATCCTTCTCTCTTGCTGACTCTTGGGCCATTAGCTCCCATTCTTTCACCTAGTTATTCTCTGCAATACTTGGCAACAGCCAGTGTAAAGGGACTTGTAATTTCTCCCAGATGTGCCCTTCTGCAATTGTACATTGACCTTGATTTTCTCTGACTCCTTGTCTGATTTTTGTATGTCACTTTTGAATGACCTTAAGCCTACACAGACAAATAATAGATGCTCAGCAAAGTACATCAAATGAATGAAAATGTGAATGTGTATTTTGACAGAATATTACTATCTGAAGTATAATAAGCACCAGAATGTTTATTTTTCACAAAAAACAAACTTTCATTTTCTAGACAATGATTATAAATCCCATGGACTCTTTTTTTCAACTTTTTGTACGTTTATGGAAAGATATATGAACATGTTTAATGAATTATGCAAAAGAACATATTAATCAATAGCTATTTGTTGAGGAATTCCTACATATAAGGCTTTTAGGCTTGGGCTATGGTGATACAAAATGAATGTGGTATGATCCCATTGACCCCTAGCAGTGACAACCTAAAAAAAGAGATAAGACAGATGTGCACAAGSGACTGTGATATACAACATGCATGGAGTCCTGTGACACGGAGGTGCAGACAAGGGTGAAGAGTTTACCTGCAGCCGGAGCACACACTGAGGCTTTCTTGCAGGAGGGGAGTTCATGTGGAAACAGATTTTGACAAGCAGAGATGAGGGGAAAGGGTTTCCAGGCAGAAGGAACCAAATGGGGAAAAGAAGAGTGATAGGAAAGTGAAGAACGTGTTTATCAAGAATAGACCAGCTTGGCTGAAATAGGATATTTGGGTAGAGGAAGCTGGTGCTTGCTAGGTCACTTAAGGCCAAATTATGAAAAGCATTAAATATTAAACTAAAAATTTTGGACTTTATCCTGCAGTTAATAGTGGGTGAATGATAAAGTTCAGAATTACTTTGTTTGTAGAGTATTATGTTACATTTTATCTAATTGTTTGTTTAACTCCTCTCTAGACAATGAATTCCTCAAGGGCAGGGAGCTTGGCTTATTCACCTCTATTATCTCAGTTTCTGGCTTTGTGCCTGACACATAGTAGACACTCCATATTAACTTTTTTGATCAAAAAAAAAAAAACCCAACTGATCTGACTTAATCATGTGAGTCTGGAATTCAGAAGACAGGCTGAAACTTAGATTGCCAGTAAAGAGCATAGAAAGAGAACATGGCAAAGGAGAGCCACAGAGTGGGTATGAAGAGAGAGAGAACTACCATGGATTCAGCAGAGATGTGTCAGAAAGGTAGCCTGGAGAAGTTAGAGGAGAGGAAGAGCTCTATGTTATGGAATACAGACATAAAGGAAATGGTGATAGCATATCCASTGAATGATCTTTAAACTCAAGATTGCACAAATAAGATTGTATTTAAATAAATATTTAAATAGCTATTTAAATAACTATTAAAGACATTTGTTTTTTATCTGCATCCTACAGGAAGCTGTGTTTTATAACAGTTGAAACATAAGCCAGGCATGGTGGTACATGCCTGTAATCTCAGTGGCTCAGGAGGCTGAGACAGGAGGATTGCAAGTTCAAAGGCAGCCTCAGCAATTTAGTGAGGTCTTAAGCAATTTAGCGAGTTCCTGCTTCAGATAAAAARTAGAGAAGGGCCGGTAATGTGGCTATTAAGGTTAATCCATGGTACCCTCCCCACACCAAAAAAACCTTGGAAAGTAGGGGACAACAACTTGAACACATAGTTACTTAGAAATTGAACAAGACTAAAAGTTGAAAGTCCTTATTTTTCATACATGCCAATTCTCATATGATACCTGAATGTTTCTGCTATGATCTAAGTTTAGTATTGAATATATTGATATGCCTTTTAAAATTACTTGATTTTTGAGATATATGCTTCTTTCATATTATAGGTGGGATTCTTAATAGATTCTCCAAAGATATAGCAATTTTGGATGATCTTCTGCCTCTTACCATATTTGACTTCATTCAGGTTTGTAAAAATTTATTAATTATTATCTTTGCATGTGTCATATTGCTTTTTCAATAATTATAAAAATAAATAAATACGTTTTAGCTCAGTTTTCATTTGATTGACAGTTGAAGTCCTGCTTATTATATAAATTTTTTGAACATCAACATTCTTCAAGATAACATTACATTAGTAAATGCAGTGACAAGTCAAACCTATTTACCTGCCCCAAACCCAAGACAACCTCTAGCTGTAATAACTAACAAACAATTACCCCACCCCATTGCTGGCCACAAAACATGATATTTTTTTATATTGGCATCACTTTTTGTTGGAAGCTCACCTACCTCCAAATGGTCCATGTTGAAATGAAGTTGGATTAGCAGCCTCCATATGAACACTTTGRCACAGATTAGCTAATCAGTTTCCCCAAGTGAAGAGGCAGAAGTATAGTAAGTTTCTGAACAGATGAGAGGAAAAAGAAAAAGTCATACTTCCCAAAGGCTCTCCAGGAGTGACAGATGTGAATGGGCCTGCAGGGTGGCTGGGCTGAGGCTGACTCCCTGGGGTGAGAGTCTGATGGGGTGGTGAGAGTTGAAGAAGGAAAGAGGACATGGAGATAAGAGTGACCTTACAGATACATTAGGACTCTAAAGTGACAGAACTAAGGAGTGTTATAAGCTGATACTCTTGGCTTTTGGACCAGGATTGAACATAGTTTTCTGGGCTTTCTATCTGGTTTAGTTGAAGCTCTGGAGACCAAATGCCATGGGCCTCAATGGCATTTGCTTAGGGAAGCAGTTGGAACAGAATGCTGCCCATCTGGGGATGAATTGTTCTCTATTCTTGCTCCATTCTCTGTCCCCAGTACAGTACTGCTGCATTAAAAGAACTTTAAAAAAAAAAAAAAAGATTACCATGCATGTGTGTATACATAAACAAYATCGGCAGATGCAGAAAAGTCATCCTGTCAGTATGCCTTATCTGCAATGATTGCTAATCAAATACTTTTACTGTTCCAAGTGACCTTTTGCATTTTGGATTTCCTTCAGTTGCTATGTTTAGAGATATAACTCAACAGCACCTGCTGGAATGTTTTAATCCATTTTTGAATTCGGGCATTCAAAGGAATGTTCCTGTGTCTTTCTTTAAAATGCTGGACATTTGTTCCTCATTCGAGAAGTGCAAATCACTGGTGCCAAATATAATCTTATTAAATGAGGTACAGATTGGAATGAATATCTTGGCCTGATTGCAAATGTGTTCATGAATGGTGCATGGTGCCTTCTGGATAGTTATTTTTCTACTTCTGTGGTTTACTGGGCATCTTCTAAATCAGTTTGAGGCCACAAAAATCCTCTGGGAGAGCTAATTTTTAAATATTTATTTTATAAATTAACATTGACATATGTGATAAATCTCAACTCCTTTCTTTCATGTCAGTTTGAATAATTTTGGCTCAAATTCTAATGCTGTTGAGCTTCATTTGCTATTCCTTCACAAGTGGTTAGCCAGAGCTCTTTCATTCCCCCACATTTTTTATAGGTGCATCGTAATTATACAATATCATAGGATTTGTTACTATATATTCATGTCTACAGATAATATAACAATATAATTTGTCCAGTGTCACTCCCAAGAACTCCCTCCACCCTCCCCCTCCCCCATTCCTTGGTTCCTTTCCTCTACTGTTCTCCCTTTGATTTTCATGAGATTCCCTCTCCTTTTCTTCTCCTTTTTCCTTGCTAGCTCCTGCATATGAGGAGAAATATGACTCTTGACCTTCTGAGTTCGACTTATTTCAGTTAACATAATGGTCGCTAGTTAGGTGGAGCTCTTTTATTGTAATTTACCAATTTTATTTAAAATGAAAGATGTCCATTATGGAAATTATGGAAAGATATAACAATCTAAATGCAGTAAAACTTTAATTTTTATTTTGTTAAATAATTTATCATAGGGGTTCCCTTATGTTGAGAGTGTCTCTGATTTACAGTTCATTATGTTTAAATAAAAATCATTCTGTTCACAATATTTTAGGAATAGATCTGGTGCACAAAATAAAGCATAGCTGTTAAATACCTTTCTCAAAAAGAAATCCCTTAACATCTCATCACTCTGTTTCTTAACTTTTGTTGATGTTCTGACAAAGCTGCTTCTGGATTAGAATGCTGTATAATGAAAATGGAAGATCTATCRTTATCAGTGTTTTACCTTGAACAGGCACTGAATCTTTTTATTTACTTATTAAAATTTTTTTAGTTGTCACTGGACCTTTACTTTATTTATTTATATGTGGTGCTGAGGATTGAACCCAGTGCCTCACACATGCTAGGCAAGTGCTCTACCTCTGACCCACAACCCCAGCCCCATGCACTGAATCTTKAAGGGTCTAAGTTTTGTCACCTTAAATTAAACCTGATGATGGTCCCTTTCAATTCTAAAGCTATATGGCTCAGACTGGCTTGCTGGAATTGGACCATCCATAACAAATTTCTTCTTGAAGGCAAGCAAAGAAATAACTGTATCCTAGCATCCTACTTACCTCTACATCTGAGAAATAATTTCTTTGTGGAATAGAGGCATGAATATTTTAAAGTACTCATTTAAATACAATTTAAAATTCTGTTCTCAGCCTTAAAACTTTAAGAACTCTTGATTTCTTCTTTCTTATCTAGTATAAGGCTATGCACTGGGTCCTGCTATTCTGATCTCTGCAACCAGTCTTTCACATCTTTGCCCATTCCTCTATTCATTTTATTGCTCCCCATCAATCTGTTGCTTAGAATATATAATATATGAATTAGATGCCAAATCAGGTGTTCATTGCATGGTTTTTTTTTTTTTTTTTTTGGCTCACAGTTTTAGAGTTTGCAGTCCATGA